CCGCACTTTGTTAGACCACTCTTCGATAATCCTCTTGCGACGTTCTTGGTCGCAAAAGACGAGCAGGGTCAGCGCAGCTTTCGAGGAGGTCCCTATTACCTCGGTCTCGTTTCTGTCAAGCCACCCCTTCAAAGTATCTTGCAAAGTCTCTAGAAATCCGGCAACTTCCCTAGGGTAACCAATCTGGAGCTCATCTATCAACTCGGCAATTGATCTCAACGCACCAGAGCTAGACTCGCCGACAATGACAGTCCCAGGCTGTAGAAATGCGGTTCGGGCTTCTGGTAAGTTTCCTCGTGTAGTGCTCACTAGGAGGGTCGGAGTTGCGGATACCACAAGTCCACCAGCTGCCTCCGCGATCAGTTCCGGTTTTCGATACTTTGTGGCTTTTGAATCCTGTACAATATCTGTCACAGTAATGACAATTTTAGTCAACGGTACCCGCTGGAGAAACTCGGAGTGTCCAGCAGCGAGAAGAGACGGAACGAGGTCTAGCACAGCGGCAAGACTTAGCAAGAGCCCGTGCCGCTCTTCGACTTGTCTTACTTGAAGGGCTCCGAGACGAGATACGAGCAATTCGAAAGAACTGCTGAAACGTTCAGAGGGGTCGGAAACTTCAGCTCTTATCATTTCTGCCGTTAGGGAACCGAACGAAGTAGCCGCTACTCTCCGAGCCCCTGCATCCATATCCCCAATGCCTCTCCATCCGAGGGTCGCCTCCAACAAGGCACGTCCGTAATGCGGGGAGAGCCTGGTTGCCTGCAAGGCCACCTCATGTATCGCCCTGGAGCGAAGAGCAACCGCGTGATAATCAACCGTTAAAACGACAGCAATTCCTTTCTCCACAGTGTCAGGGTGTCGGCCTATTAACTCCTGAAGAGCAGCTGACGCGCCGCGTCTGATATTCCCCGCGGGATCGAGCGACGCGGTCACCACTAATTCGGTCGCGATTACTTGTAATATCGACGCAGTAGAGTCATGTCCCCTAGCAACTAATACGGATTTTGTCTGCACCTGGAGCAGCTCGGATGTGTTGTACCGGCGAGCTAACGCCCATATACCAAAGCAAGACGCATCTCTAACGTTCGACCCAATTGAACCGCCCGACGGGCTCCGCTTCTCAAAAGAAAGTCCAAGCAATAGAGAATGAATAATGTCGCACAGGTTGTCAGGAGGTGGTGACCTCCGGTACAGAAGGTGAGAGAGAGTAAGCATCAAGCCATGCCACTCGAGGGGGTCGACTGCTGCGAGATCTCGAGTAGGAAGAGCCGACGGGTTTGATTTGCTCTTTACCCAAAGGACGTTCCGGTTTAGTGACTCTAGAACAGCTTCGATAACTTGGGAGGCCATATCCGGTTCCAGCTTGAGTGTGACGATGCTAAGAGCTTTGCTGGCAGCGAGCCGTACGGGCGTTTCGTTATCTGCCAGTCTCTCCAATAGGTACCCGACGGCCGTCTCTACCATCTCGGTGTCGGTAATGGTTTGATGCTGTTTCCGCAATATCAGTGTGACTACCGAGCGTGTAACCTTGATCAGCATTTTACGAGCGAGCGCAGAGCCGTTGATGACGTCGAAGACGGGATTTGCCTCTCCAGCTATAGCCTGAGTAGCATGGAAAACGGTAGACAGATGCGGATCCATGATGGAGGTATCTGCAGAAGCACCTAGGATCCCGGCTAAGAATGACAACGCGCCAATATAATAATACGGAGATTCGGCTGCCACGTCCTTCAACGGCTTCAGTGTCCACAGAGCCCAGTGGATGAGAGAATCCAAGACACCTAGCTCCTGCATGTCTTTTCGCATCGCGACACGTACCAAGAGGGCCTTGGCTCCGTCTCTTTCTTTGCCGGGCAATGCGAGGTATTTGGTAGCTAGAGGAATGACTCTTAAAGTGATACCGGGTATTTGTGGCGGCCACTCGAACCCAGGGACGACAAATTGATCAAGATCGTCAGCATCACCAGACGATATTGTTGAAAGATCGAAAGGGGCGAAGAACAGTTGAGACAGCCATAGCAAGACGATGTACCTTTCGTGCCAGGTCCACGAGGCGGCAGAATCAAGCGTGCGCTCGGATTCTTCGAGGGCGAGCAGCAAGAGCTCTAGGTATCTCGTCTCTACATTCAGGAATCTCACGATAACTTTTTCTCCTCGAATTTTGCAGAAGGTATAGAGAATTTTACATATTGCATTAGAGAGCGGGAGTAGAAGTTGGGACCGCATAGATAACGGTCTGGATCTCCGACGGTCTTGCAAGCACCCCAAGTATGCTTCTGCTAGTACCGGCAACCATTTGGGTAGATGCGGATCAAGCAGCTGAGGGAGCTCTTGAAATGGTTCCAACACCTTGATAACGTATTAGTCCTCCTTTTCTTGCCACGCCAACGGGGTCACACTCACATGAGACATCAATCTCGCCGTTTCTCTCATTCGTACGCGTCTCCGAAGTTGACCATTGGGCTTCTTCAGAAAAGGTACAAGAGAACGATCAAAATCGGAGACTAGGTCTACTGAGAACTTCTGGAGGAGCACATCTCGATCTTGATCGGGGGCGTCCATACTTGAACAGATCTGTCTCTGGTGCTGTGGTTATAAGTCGGAACCGAGGTATTTCGCGCGTCTCATTGCTACCTCGCAATGACAGACTGAAAACAAATACGGACACAAAAAGAGAAAGTATTATCATCTGCCTGGTCGATGGATTTGTCCTGCGTCTTTACCTTGCATTACAGTAGAGGTAACGAGTTATCGTTATCGCATAAATATAGGTGCCTAAAATATATTAGGTACCTAGGTAGATAATGTCGTAGTTGTGTGTGGATTTTGAGTATGTCGCTCATCCCGGTAAGCAGGTAATCCTGTCTAATCGCATACCAAAGCATAAATTACAAGTCTAGAAGGGATATGGTGTGATACGATATAGATCAAGCGCGCTTCAATGGAGTTAATAACACAACCCGTGATATATTAGGCATCTAAGAACCCTAAGAACCCTAAGAACCCTAAGAACCGTCAGAACGGAAGAGCCTAGGAGATTCGGAACAGCTGGGAAATAATTGTCAGTTCCACCAGAAGCTCACGCTGAAGCTCACGCTCAATCCTCGGACATAATGCCACCATCCAATTGGGATGTAGAGAGCATCACCGGGTTCTAGGATACAATCTAGAAACGGCACCTTTCTAAATGCGTCGAGGTCTTCCCGGGCATATCGACCATCGTTGTCAGACACCTCATCCCATCCCTCAACCACTCCAATATCCATTAAGCTCGTGTTTCCCATCTCGACCCCGTTCTCTCTTCCCCGTGCTTGCATGTGTTCCGTATCCGATGGCGAATAGAGACGCACATATTTACGCCCAACGACTTGTGTCAATATGTTATGATATGGGTCGTTGTGCAATGGTGTAATGGTGCCTGGTGGGCCAAACCAGGCGTTGAGAAGGGGATCGTCGAGTTCAGGCTGGTCAATACCATGATCCGTTGGGTGTGGCGGTGGTGCTGTGTAGCAATAATCCGGGATGAGGATATCGTTCCGCAGAGAGGGGAGCTGCGTGAATAATGGGTGCTGAGCCAGGTACGCAGTAGATACATGATTGCCGCTGGAGCTATATTGAGCTCTCCCTAAGGATGGGTCGATGTACTCACGAAGGAACTCGCCGAAGCCGATTATCTTCTGGCCCCAGCCTTCGTCCACGTAGCTGCGGCCAATCTCAATGGGTACTAGTCTGCGACCGTCAAACGTTCGCGAGAGTAGGTAAGATGGCTTGCTCCAGGGATTTGTGGTTAAGGCTGGCCAGTTACGAATGCTGCCACGGATTATAAGGGGCTTAGGCCCGAGTTTGACGTCCTGGGCATTGTCCATATATGCCTGAAATGCCTCCATAGGAAGATCATCGACACGTTCAATGGGATGCTTTACAGGAGGTGTGAATGGTTCGGTAACAGAAAAGGCATCTTCTATGCCGACATCATTACCCGAAGAAGCTACTTTCAGGGCGTGTGCCAGCTTCATTCTCTTCTTAGGGGGCTCGAGGGTAAACGTATCCTTAGGAGCAATCGTCTCTCTCCAGACTACGTGAAGTAGTTCAAAAGTATTATTCACCCACTTCCTACCTCTCTGCTCACCAGCAGCACCGGCTAAGATCAAGGCGAGGTCAAGGATCTTCACGAGCTCATCGAGCTCACAGCCTGTCCCGTCAGGGGGCGCCTGGTACATCTCGGTACCCGCAGCTTGGCCATATAGACAGGGGGACTGGAGAAACACAAGGCAAAACTTCAGGATGCTTGCGTCGGTATACAGTTGTCGCCAGCAGGTAGGGAGGTCTCTGAAAACAAAAGCGTAGAATTTGGCGTAAGAAATGGAGATTATGTCGTCTAATCGTTTCAGTACAAGCACACGCTTTTCTGAAGGAACCATGGCTGCTGTAGAATCTGCGAGTTGCAACTCTTGGTAGCAAACACTGATCTGAGCCGCTTGCCGGAAAAGCAGATCAACCAATGCTAGGCCGCATCCTACTAACGAAGATTCCTTGGAATGCCCCTCTGCCGATAGTATGGAATTGCACTCATTTCGGATTGATTGGGCTGCCTCGGTGCAAGACCTGAGGAGCTGCGCTTTCGAAGATGCTGAAGACATGTTCACATGCTGTTACACTGGAGGTAGGATAATGCATCCTTCAGATGACAGACAAGAGGTTGTCTCTTTTCTTCCAAGATAATGGAAACGTAAACACGGACTAGAGTTGATAACGAGCATCGGTATAAGAAGCACATGTATATGAGCATATGGTGGTGCAAGTTATAAAAGATGGCATCATACTGGCATTAATACTTGGGAACTGAAAAGAACTGACTATAGCGACATGCACTCTAGGAGCCATCACTGTAGGGTAGGTGTTAGTGGGTACTGCACTATAGTGTAGAAGCGGGGTAGACGATATAAGCACTAATTACAGGCCATGTTATCACAAACTGGTTAAGGCCACAGCCTGGTTCTGGCACGATGGCGGAGTGGTTAACGCGATGCCCTGCTATCTCTATAAAAGATTGTTAAGGCATTTCCCTCGGGAGCGCAGGTTCGAATCCTGCTCGTGTCGAAATTTCAATTTTGCATTCCCTCTCTTCAATATTCTTTTTCATTTTTAATAGGTATCTGCATATTTATTATTTCTAATTGATTTCTTTTGGATGATGGGGCTTGTTATTTTTGTCTGAATATTCCATGTATTCATTCGTCTAAGCGCATAATTATTCCAATCACCTTTGGGCCATCTGCTGACCTTAGGTAGTGGGGCCCCCAGTACTACAATGCTCAACGCTGGACGCACCTGCCAAGAACCAAATCGCGTCTACCCATATCCACTTTGCAGCGCGTCTTAGCCATCAACACTTTATTACATCGCGCCCACGTCCCACATTAAACTTGGCCAATTCCACCCCCAAATACCACAACTTCACAGTATTGATACCGAACTACTTCAACTACTTGAACTACCTGTTAAACGTCAGGGCATCCCGTTCTAGACATTCTCGATATTTCGAGCGACTAGTTAATACGTCGCATTAACTTCTGTCGCGTTTCCTACCCCTTTGGGTTGTCAACCACGTACCTGTATGCATACTCCTCCGACCGATCCTATGAATTTGCCGCCGTAGTCTATTCGAAGACGCGTCCAGGTACTCTTTAATTATGTATCTGCCACGCGATCTCATATCGAAGCTTTATACTCATCTTCAAAATACTCGACACCCGCTATCTCCCCCGGTCCTTATTCTCGTCGCCCTCGAACCCGATGCCCTCTGTGCCTGCCGCATCCTTACTCGGCTCCTTAAACATGATTATATTCCGCACAAGATCCACCCTATAGCCGGGTATGGCGATCTCGAACGCGCAGGCCAGGAGCTCGTCAGCCCCATGATGGAGACGCGTGGTGGAAGCGGTGGGGTTGTCGTATGTCTTGGTGTAGGAGGCATGGTCGATATGGGCACCATTCTAGGACTCGAAGCTGAAGGCGAGGAATCGAATTTCAACGGCGTGGAAGTATGGGTCATCGACTCTCATCGGCCCTGGAACCTCGGCAATGTCTTTGGCGGATACCCCCTAGAACCAGCCTCGGAAGCGAGGGCAACTTACCAAGCGCGTGCGCCTGATGGCATAGTTTCCGGCCGGATTAGTCGTTCATATAAGCCTGGGAAAGGTGGAATCGTGGTCTTCGATGACGGTGATATTGAAGAGGGATTGAACACGGAGCGTGAGGCCTACCTGGCACTGCTTGACATGCCCGACATTGAAGATGATGGTGAGTTATATGGGGATAGCGACTCCGAGGATGAGGATGGAACAGAAGATGAGCCGCCCCGCTCTGGCCAGAAGAGAAAATCTTGGTCAGATCAAGATGAGGAGAGCAGCGGCGAGGAGGAGGATCGACCGCGACAGCGGAGAAGAAGCAATTCTGTATGATGCCCTCGTACCAAATGATACGCGTATCACTGATCATGTTTTAGTCAACTCCTATTCCAGAATCGCCCCGACGCCCTTCTCAGCGGGGGTTAATATCGATACGGGATTCCGACATAGCTAGATCGGATGATACAGAGAACCTACCATCCGGAGCCCAACCCGCTAAGGGCCCGTCGGCTCGTACTCTTCGAAGGCGGCTACTGAAAATGCGAAATGAAAACGAGAGTATACTTCGGAAATACTATCGCATGGGATCTTCATACTCCGAGCCCATTAGCGCCATGATTTATTCTTTGGCGTCAGAGCTAGGGAGGGAAGACAACGATTTGCTTTGGCTAACAATCGTCGGCGTCACATCAATGGAATTATATGGTCGATCTTCGGCCGGCCTCGCTGTTTCAGTCCGAAGTTCTGACGCCAAACCGACGAATGGCTGGATGGGAGTTCGCGGTGCTCGGATACGACAACTTCTAAGAGACGAGGTGCGGCGCCTTAATCCGCCAGCCATAGGAAGACTTCCGTCGGCAGATAGCGCCGGGGTTATCCCAACTACTGCTCGAGATCCGGAAGATACAAGTATTCGGTTATCTCCCGAGCCGAAGTTTTTGCTAATCAGGCATTGGAGTCTCTACGACAGTATGATACACTCACCATACCTTTTCTCAAGGCTACACACTTGGAATGATACTGGCCTGAAACGTCTACATAAGCTACTTGCTAAGATGGGCGTGAGTCTCGTCCAATGCAAGCAGAACTATACACACATGGACATGCTACTGAAAAAGGAGCTACGGACCAAACTTCTCAAGTATGCGTCTCTCTATAACCTCGACGACATGGTCCCCGCAGTGGATACGGACGGTAGGGATCGAGCCGGCGCCAAAGATGGATGGGGATTCGTCCGAAGCTGGGGTTGGCGAGCAACCCTTAGTGCACAAGACGTAGGAGTGATCATCGGTGCTATGCTTGAGGTGGGTAAAAACAGCGCTATGCTTAACGATGATGGCTACATGTGGGCAAGCCAGACGCAGGATCCGGAAGATGATGGTGGGGCGGCCGAGTCGCAAGAATGGGTTGGTCGGTTTTGGGAAGCATACGATGCACTCGAAGAGTAAGTTGATGAGCAGCGTGAACTACCATTCGGGAGGGCTAACATAGTCTAGCATCGATGCACTCAAACTCGGCCTACCCATAGCAAAGTACCTTCTCAAGGCCATTTTCCGTACGGGAAGCTCACTTATATGCAAACGACAAATCAAGCATCTGCATGCTTTCCGCCTTTGTGTCATTAAGGACGGGCCAGACGTCGCTCTATTTACTCATCCGGCAGCGCTCACGAAACTTGCTGTATGGGTCGGCGAGGCTCTCTCAGAGAAAGAGAAAGACGACAACGGCAAGCTAGCACACGGCGGTCGGGGTACGCCGCTCGTGGTGGCAAGCTTGAATGAGAAACGGGGCGTCTACGTTGTCGTTGGCACCGGCGGCGGCGGCGGTCCTGACCTAGCCTTCCTGGATAAGGAAGCAGCAAAAGAAAAGCGAGCAGCTAGAGAAGCCAAGGCGAAGGAACGAGCGCGGAAGCGACAAAACAAAGAAAAGATTAGAGAAGAGAAACGCGCAGCGAGGGCCGCAGCCGGGGACGAAGATGACGACGAAGAGACAGAGTCCGAGGCGAGCGAAGACTCGGATTCCGACTCTGAGGACGAGATTGAGGAACGGAAAGATCGTGGTTACGGGCTAAACAGGTTTGGCAGCGCATTTCAAGATGTTGTTAACGAGACGAATGCCCGAGTACGGATCGACAGCTTCGAGCATTGCGTTGTCGAGGTTCGGAAGGACGATCTTGGCGGGTTCCTTGAGAGCTTAAGCCAGAAAACAGTTGTCGGTTAAGCCGTCCCTACCATCCGTTGAGAGCCCCGTATTTCAAGACGTTCGGCTTGGAGAATATAGCGGTCTAGTTCATCAGCTGGGTAACGACTCGATTTGATCCCTGAGGGTATTCTCACGACAAGCGAAACGAGTGCAGGGCTGTGGGTGACGAATGAACGAGATGGACAAGCTTTGGGCGAGGTGTCAGGTCAAATAAAGCATTATAGATAGCGTATTTTACTGAGCCATATTTTAGGGGCGGTATATGAATTGTCTGATATCTGGGAATCTACATGCGCATACTTGATACTTGATCCATCCAAGCTGCTTGTATTGTTGGCGTCATCGGTTACTACATACCTACATATGTACATACCTAAGGTATGTATGTACCTACCAGGAATGTACCTAAAGTGCGTGTATAGAGTTAAACCAGCTTCCCACTTGGAATGATCTAAAACATGGCCTAGGTAAGATAATAGGTAGGTGATAGGTGAGAAATACCCCGCTGGACACTAACCTAGAGAGGACTTGCTCGATAATCATCTCCCTCCCCTCTTCTGTCTGAACTCTGAACCCTGAACCTCTTCCCTTCTCAACAAGGAAATGGGATGACGTTTGCACCCACTCGTTTTTCTGTTCGTCTTCCTGAAGCATTCTATTTGCCGCATCGCACTCCGCATATACAGCATACTCGCATACGGACCACGCTTATAGGGTCTGGCTGTCTGGCTGTCTGGTCTCTTAGATACAAAGCCTCTGCATTACGTCGTCGCAGTTGTTCCTAGTTCCTAGTGATCGACGTACCTGTTCCTCGCTCCCGAAGACCCAAGACCCAAGACCCCATCATGTAAGTGATGCCTGGCCCACTCCCTTCTGTCTCCCGTGTAGTCGGTCATCTTGCATGTGTGAACCAGTTTCATCAAATTGCGACCCGTCCCAGCTAATACCTGCGTATCACAGTCCAATCCCCTTTCGAGCCCGCCTTATTGTGACCTAGCACGCGAGCCCAGCCTCGATCCCGCAAAGCCAAGCCAGCCAAAACTAGCCTACCACGTTACTCGGAGAGCTCTTACGAAGCATCATTGCGGCGGTACTGCTCTACTGCCTGCCTAGGTCGCCGCAGCCAAATACATCTAGATTACACAAACTTATCCCGCTGCAGTATATCTTGACTTCCTTCTTTTGTTTTCTCCCCCCCTCTTGTTTGGGGCGCAACTTTGCCCGCCATTCGATCTTTTATTCATTCTTCATTCCTCCCTCCTACCAGCTCCGTTGCGACTGAGACCTCCCCTCCCTAGTGGTAGTCGGAACTTATTTGTTATCTTCGCCGTTGCGACAACCCCACCTTGCCATCGTTCAAAGCAACTTGTCGCATTAACGGTCCCCCCCCCCGTTCGCCTTCGCTCTCGCCCTCGCTAGATTTGACGAGAAACGCCTACATCGTACCAACCTTTCCTACATACATTCGAAAGAGAAGGAGAGAGAGAGAGAGAGCGATATAGTCCGCATCGATTGTATTATTGCTACGAGACAACAACGAAGATGGGCAAAAAGTGAGTCCGCCTTGGCCGGCCTTGTATCATTGTCTGCGGCTGCGCGAATGCGAGAATTCCTACCCCTCCGTGCAACCGTGTCAGGAGACGCCAGACATATTGCTTTATTATCACCTCGGGGCCACACTCTATAGCATTGACTAATGTGAGCTATCCAGTCAGTCGAAACTCTCCCAGGAGCAATTGGCCGAGCTCCAGCAATCCACGCATTTCG